GTGTGTGTGTGTGTGTGTGTGTGTGTGTGTGTGTGTGTGTGTGTGTGTGTGTGTGTGTGTGTGTGTGTGTGTGTGTGTGAGAGAGAGAGAGAGAGAGAGAGAGAGAGAGAGAGAGAGAGAGAGAAGGAGTCTGAACATTTCATTGGGAAAAATATAAAGTAAAATGTATTTAAATTTGTTTTCCAAGGGAAAGAAAGATGTGGTGCATAGTTCAAACACAGTTCATTCATGTTAGTTATTGCTACTTTAAGAGGAATCGTATTGTGGTTATAAGTCACTGGAACAAATCCAATGTTATGCTAAAACAGCTAAGTAGTATATTGTGGCTGGAAACCCAAGCAAAGCAAAGCTAATTTGCAAAGTGTTTTGCTGTTAGTGAGTGTGCTCTTATCAATAATGAATCAGTAGTGGTTCAGGTTAGAGTTCCTCTCCTCACGTTGAAGAAATCCCTGAAAATCTAACTCATCAATTAGATTTTGTTTTTGATAAAAATGTTCATTTCATATGTTAAAGGATTTGGATGTAACTCTGTATCTTTGCACCCTTTAGTATGTGTGGATATAATATTAGCTCAATATTAGTTCTATAGGGTTCTACAGGCTTGTCCCTAGTTTATTATGTAGAAAACCTTGACTGTCTGGATCTGTATATTTGGGAGTGCAGCCGGCATAATTTCATTCCAAAGTGGAAATCCTCACAAATGACAGTTAATGCATATTTTGCTCCCAATATGTTTTAAAACAATGTGGATGTAAAGGTTAACAATTTAATTTCATTGGAGGTTTTTTAAAAGAAGGCCACCGGCAAAAGATAAATCAGTGATTTTTCTGCTGAGAAATGAGCGTTGTCCCCTTCAATGAAAAATGAAAGGGATATATAACATTCTTTGGGTACCATGTATGTCTGCATATACATATGCAGATACTATATCCATAGACAAGAGACACGATTTTTGTAACCAAAGCCTTTCTTCATTTCCATTTGTGGTCTGTTTGCTGTCTGAGTATAACTGACAAATTACATTTTCAGGCTTTGAGTGCCCGCAGGCAAATAGTCTGTGTGTAGAGCAAAGGAAGAAGACTGGCCGGCCAATATGCAATTTCAAAACCATCATTTATCATGACAATGATTTAGCTTTTCATCAGTTTTCTTCAACTTTACTTTCATCAACATTAGACTGTGGACAATGAATTATACTTGTATATTCGTTAGTCAAGATATGCGCTGGCTGTACCTAAGCCCCAAAATATTTGCTGTTGTCCCGAGTCATCAGATGAGAGTGGATGGGGTTGCAGATTTGGAACCATAGCACACAAAGGTATCAGCTACTTTCTTGAGGATTTACTAATTATTTTATTTTATTTTTTTTATCCTAAAAAACCCCATCATATTTTTAA